GTGAGGAACTCCCTCTTTGGCTTATCCCTGTGTTCATGTTGGTGTGGACTTGTGGGTTCCTGTTCTATTGCACGGGCTGCCCTGATGCCCAAATACCCCCAGATCTGACCAGTAGAGGCCCCTTGAGGCAGCTGCGAGCCCTTCTGACGCCGCCACGTTGTTCCTGGAGCCCGTTCTCACTGCTGGTGCAGCAGATCGCGCTCTGTCTCCGCCCCAGAATCAGCCGTTTTCCCAAGGAGCCCCGGATCCCCTTCGTGGAGAGCAGCGTCTAGAAGTCAAGACCCACGCGGGAGGTGTGCGGCTGCCCCACGGGAGTCAGGGCGGGGACGTGCGGGGGGAGGGCGCGCTCACGCCTGCTGGCCAGGGCCCCTCACCCACGCCCTGGCCCCACCCGGGGTCTGCCCTCATCGAAGACCGGCCCCAGCCGCACCTGCCCTCCCGGCGCAGGAAAGGACAGAGCTGCTTGTTCGAATAGCCACGGTCACAAAGGAGCATTGCGGGGCCCCTGCTTCATCCGCTGCCCTCGCCATAGCTTAGACTTGCTCCTCTCTCTGCCGTCTGCTTGCCAAGTTATGTACCCAAGGAGACGAGGATGCTCCGGGCCCAACTCTGCGGCCGTGGCTTTCGTTATCTGAGCTGCTTCTGCTGCATTCATGATAAGGCAGGCAGGCAGGTGGCTTGCCTCTGGAGGCTGGGGTGAGTCCTCAAGGGGCAAACACCCCCGGGTGCCTTTTCAGAAAGCAGATTCTGATCCAGGAGGTGTGGGCGGGACCCAGGACGGCTGGCTAACCATTCCCAGGGGTGCACAGATGCAGGCCCGGCTGGCGTGGGAGGAAGCATCCCTGTCCCACCAGACCCCTGGTGTCTCTCTTCCCTCGGCAGCCGCGGGAGCCCGTTGCCTGTCCCTGTGTCTAACACTCGGGTCTGGGCCTGCCCTCATTGACTTAAGTCGGAGGCTGGCACTGGACTGGGCTGGGAGCCCCCTGGCCAGCACTGGATGTGGTCCACCATCTTGCTGGCACACTTGGGTCTTGACCCGTTAATGCATTCCAGGTGCCATTGGAATCGGGCGCTAACCTCATGTCGTCCCACAGGGTGGGAAGCGGAGGTGAGCAGCCCTCACTTTGCCGCCAACTTTAGAGTGGACTCGGAGCCTGCTGATGGAATCCACATGTTTCTTGGAAAGTAGGCCATGGACGACCTCCCGTGGTTCCACTCCCACTTCAAAGGAGGGCTGTTCCGTGGGTTAAGTTGGCGCCCGATGTCTCACCTGCGACACGGACTTCACGGACTGCGCGTGGCCAACTGCCCCCATGTCCCCTTGTTGGGGACTGCGGTGACTACTTACAGCAGACAAATCATGAGAGGAAATGGGCTATCACCGCTCTGGGAAAGGGGAGAAGAGTGGCTTCCTGCGCAGGCCTGGGCCTAGTTCCAGCATCGGGCCAGATGGGGACTCAGGCAGTAGCATTCCCGCGTGAGAAGAATACACAGCTCTGTCCTGGGAGGCGCGCCCGCCCCGCACGGCCCCGCGCCCAGGCCCTCACTCCCCACTGGACTGTATTTGGAGGCAGGACACTGGGGAGCAATCCCGCTGCACACGAGGCCGTGGGGTGAGGTCCTCAGGAGAGGAGGTGCCAGGCACGTGGCACACGGAGGGAAGGGCGCATGAGGGCACACGAGGCGCTAAGGAGCTACGCCCGGGCCTCGGATCCCACCTCCAGCCCGGCGGGGAGCTGCGTGCCCGGACTCAGAGCTCCTTGCCCCCGGCACGGCCTTCCGGGCCCCCCGACAGTACCACCTCACCATGAGTCGGCAGCTGAGCTTGCTGTCCTTCATTCCACCTGAGAACTGTCCCCATGGTCCCCGCGCTCTCTCCCCACAAACCCTAGTCCAGGGGGACCCCCCCACCCCAACTTACAGAGCTGGCGGGCCCTGTGGCACCTCGTCTCCCGACGCGGCGTCCTCTCCACACCCTGCTAACCCGGCCCCGGGTCTGCGCCCTCCGACAGACCCTCTGTCCCCTGACCTGTCCGCTCTGCCCGCGGCATCCACCCGTCTGGAGGCTCACGCTCCTCCACCAGCCACACAGCCCTAGAGCCCCGATGGCGGTGACCCATGATCCCCGGGTCCCCGTCTACGCTGAATGGCGTGGGGGCCGGAGAGTGTGGTCGCGTGGCTCTCTGTTGTGATGGGGAGCCCCTCCTGTGCCTCCCTTGCCCGTCGTGACACCTCTGGGCTCTGCTTGGGGCTGGGGTTCCCGAAGCCCCTTCTCGAGGAGCTCGGCCTGGTGACCGACCTTGTAGGTAAGCCCTCGGCGAGAACGCACATTCCGAGGTTCAGCTCCCGTTCTGCCTTGTTTTACTTTGAAATATGTATCCGAGTGTTGAGTTGTCACGTGAGTTGCTGTGTTACTCTAGGATTTACCCTTGGTTTACTGTTTAATGTGCTTCCTGTACATGTAACATTAAAAGAGACCTGCCAACTAAAAGACTTTTAAAAATGTGACTCTCGGGGCCCCTGGGTGGCTCAGTCAGTGAAGCGTCTGCCTTCGGCTCAGGTGGTGCTCTCAGGGTCCCGGGATCGAGTCCCGCATCGGGCTCCCTGCTCATCGGGGAGCCTGCTTCTCCCTCTACCTTTCCCCCTACTTGTGCTCGCTCTCTCTGACAAGAGAGAAGGGAAGGGAGGGAGGGAGGGAGGGAGGGAGGAAGGAAGGAAGGAAGGAAGGAAGGAAGGAAGGAGAAAGAAAAGAAAAAAAGAAAAAAATCTTTAAAAAAAATGTGACTCTCTGTGCATGATTTTCCAGATTCGTTGGTTGAAGGGTTTGGGGGCAAAGAGGAGGGGAGGGGCTGGTGCCCGGCGAGCAGGGCAGGCTCCCCTGGCGTTGGCATTGGGGTGGATGCACACAACACTGGTCTGGGGGCCCAGACAATAGGCTCGTGTCATCCCGGGACCGTCCCAGCACGGGGGCTGCCCTCCTTATGCTCACAAGGGCAGACAGTCTCTCACGGCTGCTGCCGAGACAAAAGGGAACCAGGACTTTAGTTAAAAGCAAGACAAAAGAAAGATTCTGGCTTATCTTTTTGAAACAGAATTCTTGTAACCGCGAACAACGACACACACAGAATTTCCCAAATCCCCCATTGTTGTCGATGTCTTTGCGTGGCAAAAGTTTCCCAGAGTTTCTTCAGCTCACGTTAACAGGTGTTTGGTTAAGATAATAAAGATTGTTGAAAGATAAGTTGAAAATTCTTCTCCCTGTGAGTTAGCGAATCAGTGCCCTAACCATGACCTGTATTCCATTCTCTCTTATCAATGCGAAGGCCCCCCGGGGGTAATGCACCTGCTCATCTAGCACAGGCCGGTGGCCCAGGCTGCGATGGCACAGCCCACACCCGCGTCCCCCCAAGACACGACCTTGGGCGCCTGGGTGGCTCAGTCGTTAAGCGTCTGCCTTCGGCTCAGGTCATGATCCCAGGGTCCTGGGATCGAGGCCCGCATCGGGCTCCCTGCTCAGCAGGAAGCCTGCTTCTCCCTCTCCCGCTCCCCCTGCTGGTGTTCCTGCTCTTGCTGTCTCTCTCTGTCAAATAAATAAATAAATAAAATCTTAAAAAAAAAAAAAAGACACGACCTTTCACCTTTGCTCTGCTGGGGCTCACATTCTACAGACCAGAGCAAAGATAAAAGAAGACACCCATGCAAGTATCATTAAAAGTTTATTATTTTATTTCAATATTCAAGAACAGTGTGTGCTTCCCACGAGCGCCCATCTCAGCTCACGCTGTCTGGGCGTAGCCCCGCGTGGAGATCACTCGGCCAACAGTCGGCTCAGAGATGTTGTGTGTGTGTGTGTGTGTGTGTGTGTGTGTGTCACGCAGTTGGGAGGTTTTGTTTCTGAAATTTTGTCCCTTGTTCCCCTGTAACCCTCTCATCATTGAGGCTATAGATTAATAGACATTATATTAAACCCCCACCGGACATCGGAATTAGGACGGGATTATGTTGACACGTTGACTATTCCTCGTGTTCCTTCTAAGGGAGGACAATGCCAGTGGGGGCTCCTTGGAAGGCCTCTAAGACACACGCTAAAACCAAAAGGCGGGATCAGTATGTTACGAGGGGGGCACAGGAAAGGTCAGCTCGTTAGAAAAGACACGATTCAGAGGAGCCCGTCTCTGCTCACGGGGCCGGCCAGGCCCGGCCCCCACAGCGCCCAGCTCAGCGATTCGGGAAGCGGGCCCTCCGAAGCCTATTCGCGAGGCACGTCCGCGTCTAGGATGCAAGCGGACGGAAGGTTATCTGTCCACCGAGGGTTAGTATCTGCAGTGTGCACTGCCGTGGGAAGCGCACCGCTGGTCACCTCCCGCGGTGACCAGGGTGACGCCGTGAGGCCACCCAGAACACTCCTCCAGTCCCGCTCTGAGACGAGCATCTCCCCGGACCTCTGCTGGGCTCTGGGGGAACAGGCTGTTGGCAGAAGCCGCTCTGGCTCCCACTGTACCTCACCTCATTTCCAAGAAGATCCTGTTTCCTGTTGGGGCCGTGGCCCAGCCCAGCCTTGCCTCCCGGTCCCCTCTCTGCTGCGCCCGAATTCCGCTAACCGCGTGGGGTGGGCCGCCGCCTGCAGGCGCCCCCTCCGCGCCCACCCCACGGGACTCTTCACCGCTGCCCGCCCGCACTTCACGTACCGAAAGCCCCCGTGCCGCTCCCGACTGCCTCATCCTGGAGGGAGAGTAAGTGTGTGTTAGGAGGTGAGCAAGGGGCGGGGAAAGCAACCAAAGGAAGCTCGGATCAACAGTCCTCACCGCCCTGCACATGTCCCTGTGTCCACGACAGCGTCCCCACGGCAGTGCCTGTGAAGCCGAGGGATGCCGGGTCAGCAAAGCAAGTCCAAGGAGGGAGGAGGGTGAACTCAGAGGTGCGTCGGCGCACCAGCGCCCCGTGCCTCGGAGCGCGCCGCGGTGGAGGGAGCTCCGAGGACGCGCTCTCTTCAGACACAAAGTAACTGCTTCATATTCTGTCTGCGTTCCCTCCATTTAGCTGATGGCCAGAAGCTGCCAGCAGGGTGCGGCGTGCCTGACCCCAGCGTGTGCACAACTCAACGGGCATTAGGCAGGAGGGTGTTTGCTACAAGTAGGGAGTAGATGTGGACGGTATTAAAATCTTAAGGCAGTTATATTAAGAAGCTGAGGACAGGTTTCTGGGACCACAAGGTAGGGCTTCAGCGTCTCGCCATGGGTGATCCAGAACGACTATCTCTTCCTCCCTGAGGAAAGGAAACACAGAGTTAGGCGATGTGCAGGGGCAGCCTTGGCATCCGCGGCATCTGCGCCTCGCACCAGGATCCCGCCTGTGGGGCGACCCGGTGCAAACCACCTCATTTGGGTCTGTTAGAAATGACGGCACACAGAGCTGAGGCTCTGATTCCATTCCTCAACACCCTTGAGCAAGTGCTGATCCAGTTTTCAGGGAGCCTCATTCCCAGGACCCATGTCGCGGGGCCCTTCTGGGGGAGAACGCTCAGCGGCCGCGCGAGCATGCATTGAATGGGTACTTTGTTTCTAGAGATTCCAGGGTCAGGGAGGGAAACCGTCTACACACGACGACAGGGACAGCTTCATCTTTGGGGAGAGGGTGGTGCTGGGGAGCGCGGCCGCCGCCACGTCCCCCAGGCAAGAGCCGAGCTGCACAACGCTGTCCCCGGGGACAGTCCTCTCTGGTTGTGTGCTCTCCACTGCTCCTCACCAACACCAGCCAACGGCCCAGAGCGGTTCTCCGCAAACCTTGACCTCATGGGGTCTTAAAACCCTGAACGGACGTGTTTTCTGGACAAATACAATTTGAGATTAAAACCAGAATTGTCAAACACTGGAGACGGGGCTCGGGCATGGCATCGGCTCAGAGGAGATGATGAGTTTGTAAGTCCCGATGTCCTTTAGGAGGACCAGGGAAATGTGCCTTTCCTGTGGCATTCATATTTTTATTCAAGTTGTGGCTCTTTCTTCCTAGGTTACAGGTGTAAAGTTCATCTCTCAAAGATTTTCCCTGAGACTGTGAGCCCCCCGAAAGCAAGATATATGTAAACTATGCTATTTACCAGACGCCGCGTGTGCACGGAACGGACGCCGACCCACTCTAATTACACGTTTGGCACGTTACCCGGTGATCTCGGTAGTCGAAGCCCTGACGCCAAAGACGCCTCATCCGTGGCACAGTCAGCAGATGGAGACCATAGTTTGGATTTGTCGGGGGCTTGTACTTTTTCCAAAAGAATCTCTCTGTTGTTAAACAACTCCTTTGTGGGATTTTAGTTCCCTGCGTGAGAACATTTATGGGATCCCGGCCTCTGGAGTAACTGACGAGCCTTGTCCGCCCGGCTGGCCTTCAACAAGCTGGCCCTGGGCGCTGCCCTCGGGAGGAGCCCAGCGCGAGTCTGCACTCGCCTCCCTGCTTGCTGAGTCCCCGGGAACTTAACCTTTCAAGCAAGATCTAGTCCTGTAAAGGGGCGGAACCCCTGCTCCCTGGAACAGAGCTCCTCTGTGCTGAAATGGGCTGCATCCCGCCACCTTCTGCGGGACAAGTCCCCTGAGACAGCATTGTCGCTTCCCAAGGGCTCCTTCTGAGAGAAAAACAATGGTGGACATTTGGTGTTACTGTCTAGGACTGTGCCTACACTTACCAAGTCTCTGCCGGGGTGGAAAGAGAAAGCCAGTCCGGGAGGTGGGGATTCTCAGCGTCCCCATTTTCCAGTCAGGGGAGTCAAAGCACAGACCCGCTGAGTAAGGTCCCCAAGGCCCCTCAGCCAAAGGCGGAGTCAGGGTTCGAACCAGCACCTCTGCCGTGTGGGTCTCACGCTTTCCTCCCTGCCACGTTCTCAGCACGTTCGAATGGGTCCACATCAGCACTTGGTCGGCCCCGGGCCCCCGGCTCCGGCCCCAGGCTCAGCCGAGCGGACGAGCTGGCCCCGCTAGGAGGAGCTGGGCCTGAAGCCGTGCCTGGGGGAGGGAAGGAATGGGGCCTGCGGGGAAGTCCTGCATTCCGTCCCCACTTCCGCACCCAGCTGGGAAACTGTCTCAGCTGTGCATCTGGAAGTGAGAAACTCTGATAACAGTTCGATGCAGTTCCCTAATGACTGGGAGAAATGCAGGGCTCGTCACCCAGTTTCCAACCCACAGGGACGGACAGTCTGGGGTAATGGTGCCCCCTTTAATCCCGGGAGACCCACCGTCCCCACCCACATCCTTGGAACCCTTCTCGCCTCTGCGGGGATTGTTCTCCAATGATGGTAACCACACCTGCGGACCCATTCAGCCCTATGCCCGTGGTCGGCCAGTTCGTGAACATTTCATGTAGTAAAATCTAATGAAAGCCATGTTAATTGAAATTTGATAAATCAGAGCTTCCCTTGAACTCTACAGAAGCTTTAAAATTTCTAAACCACTTTGTACAAACAGAAATGCAGGAAAACATTGAACCCATTACAAACAAATGGGGCTCACACGCTTGTGTTCGTCCCACACGATGAACGTGCTGGACAGGGACGGGGCTGGCCAGCCCGACCTGCAAGCATCTCACCCTGGCTGGGGGCCAGGCTTGCATGTATGACCCAGGCACAGAGACAGTCCCCAGAGTCGCCCGGTCAGCAGGGAAATTCTTACCACTGCACACCTCTGGGTTCCCACCTGGGATGCTCGGGGGCAGGAAGACTCGGGGGGAGCCCAGAAACAGTCTGGGACATCGCAGTTGGGTCAGATGTGGGCGCCCGCCTGGCCAGGTGCTGGGCCACTCGTGGAAACATCACTATTCTGAATGCACTGCTGGGTTTGGACCCAGAGCTCCTACAGGTTCGTCATCCTCACCGTCTCGTTGCCACAGTGCAGAATTGGGCAGACACATCATGACGACCTCAGTTACTTGAATATTTGTGCGGGTAGAATTTGATTCCCCCTTACTCAGATTTGCTTTAGAATTTCCACTGAGGAGAGGGCCATGCCTGCCTTTGACCGGACATGAAACGAGTCAGCACGCCTGTTGATAACCATTCACTTCACAGATTCAAGCCCTTTCTTGGATAGGACTGACCTTCCTCAGAAGCACAGTCCTGCCTCCCCTCACCTCTATGTGGGCCCAGCAACCACTGAATCTGGGCTCGTGGCAGGGGCCTCCACACACATGTGCTCCCTGAGCCGACCCTGCCAGTAACCCGACCATGGGACATACCACACACATGACCCCATGATGACTATTTGGGTTACAGACCAAATTATTCCACCATAAATTGTGAAACCTTGATGTGTTAGTAAGCCAATTAGAAAGCACACTCACCCAGGTTAAAGACCTCCTATCAAGGTGATTGGGGTGGAGCCTTGTGCGTGCCTGGCCGAAGCTGAGCCCGAACCAGGGATGACCTGGAGCCTGCAGGAGGCCTGGGTCCTGCCTCTCAGCTGCCCGATCTCTGGGGTGATACCACCAAGCCATGCACAGCAGAGCCTTTTAGTGTTAAATCAAGTTGCCTACTGTGACCCCAACCAACCGGTGGTCTGAGGGCAGGTGGAGCAAAGGGGACGCTCCTTTTCTCATCCATGACCTGAAACCCCTAGAAGAACATTCAGTTTCCAAGGAAACGCATGCCTCCCCCAAATGGGCCTGCCGGACTGAAGACACAAGATGACGAAGCTTTAGCGTGGAGTAACAATCCACGATGTGTTTGCCTGTGGCGCCCGGACACCTGCCGATGGACACGGCAGGGGCAGGGCACACGGCGGTGCCGTCTGGGAACTAAGCCCGGACTAACGTCCCTTCTTACTTGGGTGTCGCATCTCCCTTTGTCTACGGTGATGCCGATCCCTCACCCAAGAAGGATAAACATGAAATCCTTCAGGAGTTATTTGTCTCTCGACAAGGTGCTGCGAGCATCCTGGGGCGTTTTGCTTTTTCTGATGCCTTTCCTGCCGTAACCCACAAACCCTGCCTTTTATGCGCTGGCATCCGGCTTCCTGATTACGGTTCGTTAGGTTGGAAAGGGAGCTGACTGGCTCACCTTGCAAATCATCGTGGCTCTGGTTTAGAATCGGCTCTCACGCCATGAAGCCAAGAAGCGGATGGCCTCATGCGGATTCAGAGTCACGAGAACAGCTGCTCGCTCGGTTGTTAACGAGAAAGTACGTGGGAACGTGGACCCAGACAATGGTGCTCCCTGGCCGTGTGCCTCTGCCAGCAGCTGTCCAGCGATGAACTGTGATCCCTCGAGCCTTAAGTCAGCCTGGGGAATGTCCTGGGCTGTGCAGAAGGTGCCACGTGTCCCCGCTGGGGTGGGCGCATCCCTATCCCTGATCCCTTTCCAGCTGTGAGCCCTGAAGTGTGGGCTGTTGCTGGGATCTCGGCTCCGTTGCCAAGCCCTGGATGGGGGGCTGAAAAACCCCAGCCCCACTTTGACTGGTCTTTGCCAGAGACGCACAGCCGGCCTTTCAGCGTGAACACCTAAGTTGTTGGGTGTCATGGGACCTGGGTGACAAAGCCCTCAGGAGGGTCTCAGGGGCCCTCTTGCCGGTGGCACTCATTTCAACCATGTCTGTCCCCCACTGTGAGAACATGCTCTTGACGCGCGCCCCTCCCCAAAGAGCACACAGTGATGCTCAGCAAGCACCTGCCAGTGTAACGAGTGTGATGGCAGATGGACAGAGCTCCTGGGCAGGCTCTGGCCCCTGACTGTGGGCACGGCCAGCCTGGGCTCACAGCCGCGGGCGAGCAGACCTGTCACTGTGTTCTTCGGAGGCCTCTGCCCACGGGGGGCAGCGGCTGCTTGTGGGTCGGCCCCATGCCCGAGGCTCTTGGGCGGCCTGCGTCCAGGCAGTTACAGTTTGCCGACGGCGCCTACCCCGGCGCTGTGGGTGAGCCCTGGAATTACTGTGAGCTCTGGGGCCCACAAGAGGGTCCGGGAATGAACGGAGGCCAAACGGGCCCCTCCCCACGCCGGGAAGTCGATCTCGGGACTGATCAGAGCCAAGAATGGGCCGTGGTGGGGTTCTCTGCGGCTGGGCAGCACTGCAGGCCCCCCGGCGCCCAGGCCCGGTCCTGCTGTCCTTGCTGTGTCTTCTCACGCCCCTTCCAGGTGCCCTAACAGAGGCCCCAGGGCCAGTGACTCCAGTGTGTGTACGGGCAACCCCCGTGGGCTCCCTGGGATCTCCGCCTGCCTAACCAGCGATCTCCCCCTTTTGTCACTCAGCTCCTGTTCCTTTTCTCAGGGGTCTGTGGCCTCGGCACCGGGAGCTTCCAGAGGAGGTCGGCACCCACAGCCACCCCCGCCTCCCCAGGGCATGGGGGGAGCCTCGCGTGGGACCCCTCACATGTCCTTGAGGTCCCTGAGGGAGCCTGGACCGGCCCCTGCAGATAAGTCCTGGTCCCTGAGCCAGCCAGCCTGGCAGGTGAACCCCAGAGGGACAGTTTGGAAAGCCTGGAACCCCCCCGCCCCCCCCTCCCCCAGCACATCCCTGGCATTGAGAAGGGTCACCTTACCAGTTTGAAGATTTTGGAAAGCGTGCCCTGGGCGTCATGGGCCCCCTTGAGTCCCTTGTGAGCTGGAGCTCTGCCTCCGTAGCCAAGTCCTGGCTTCTGCCCCTCGGCTCCCTGCAAGAGACCAGACAGCTCTCAGGGGGCCAGTGGGGCAGGGAGGGGCCCTCAGGGAGGGGCCACCGGTGGAGCCAGGGCCATGCTCCACGCCGCAGTGGGGGCCCAGCCCAGGCTGCCATGCGTGGGCAGATGTGCGCCCAAATGCTCTCACTGAAAGATCAGACTCCTGACCCACTCCACTGTGTGGCTTGCAAGACAGGAGTGGCGAGGTTGAGCAAAACCAGGTGACCCACCTTTGCCCACCTGTGTGCAGGAAGGGAGCGCAGGGGCCGCTCTCGGCCCCAGGAGGCACTCCCCTCCTGGGCTGGGGCGGGGGTCCCTGTCTGCTTCTCTGTGCAGACTCCTCACATCTGCCCCCTTCTGCTGGATGTCTGGAGGATATGGAGCTTGGCACTTAGCAAAATTTTGAGGCCCATACTTTTCAGCAGAAAGACAAGCTTCAAATTCTCTGACCTGGGTGAGGCTCTCCCCAGGATGACCAGAAACCAGTTCCCCTGGCCAGGCTTGGGTGCCCTGACAGCGGATGTGTGGCCCCTGCTGGGGGTCCCGGGATCTGGGCTGGTCATGAAGGAGGGAGGGAGCAGGTCCGGCCAGCAAGCCGTGTCCCTGCCGACGTGCACCAGGGCACAGCCCCGGGCACCCAGCAGCCTGAATGGAGCCCTAGCTCTCCGCTCCCTAGCTGTGTGACCTCGGGCAAGCGTCGGAGCCACTCGGACCCTCAGTTTCCTCTTCTATAAAATGCGGATAAAGCGGCCCCACCTGCTGGGGTGGCTGGGAGGCTACCGCAAGTTCACAGATGCACTGCTCTGTGAACAGAACCTGTGGGCTCCTGGTATGTGCTCGCTGTCGTTCCGGGAGAGGCCAAGCCCAGCTCCTGGCGCCAGGCCCCACCTCGTGCTGGAGGGAGGAAGACCTTTCTGTGCGCGGCACAGAGCAATGGCAGCTGATTGCTGACGGGTGAGGACATCCGTGTCCTAGGACTAGTCTGTTTTCAAAGATGCTTTACTTTCAAACGGCAACTCCCCCGCGGACACGAGGAAGGAGTTGGGGGGCTCGGGCAGACACAGGGAGGTTAGCGTTTGCGGTACGGGGCTCTCCAGCCTCGGGCACCATATGTCACGCAGGCGCCAAGCAGGCCGGGGGTCTCAGGTTAGGTCGCTGTCTGCCCCGCGCGTGTGTCTTCAGCGGACAGGGTCTGAGATTTCAGATTCTGCCAGCAGGACAGGGGAGACTCTCTATGGTCTGCTCCTAACAATCGAGTCAAGGAAATGGCCCCGCCCCCTGGTGGAGCCCCAGGTCCCTCTGCCTCTGCCCACAGGCCTTGCAGCGTGCATGCGCATGGGCTGGAGGGCCCGGAATCCATGCAGTGCCTCCCTCTCTCCTAGAGGCATCAGGGTGGGATGGGGGGGGGTGCGGTGGAGGGCGGGCAGCCCCGGGGTCCAGAGGTTTCCATGGATGCGCTCGCTCCGGGACATCCCACGGAGGGACAGGTCACAGCTAAGCGTGCAGGTAACATACACAGCCTCGCACACCAGTGCTAAATCCTCCTGTCTCTTGCTTTTCTCCAAAATTAGGAGCTTCTGAGAACAAAACTCAAGGGTAAGTTTTCAGATTAAATAACCTGCTTGACTTTTCCTCCTTTCAAATTCTTGGTCACTCCTATCTTTGGACAACCTGGAATTTACCAAGAAGTGTTCAACAGAGTTTAGAAGAAGGATGGGTGACTTTCACAAACTCCAAGCAGGAAGGCAGTCCTGTGGCTTGAGGAAATGGACACACAAGCAAATGAAATACGGACGCGGATTTTGCTTTGGAAAAGAAAGAGAAACTGAGTAAAGATTAGTAGCCCCAAAACGGAGGCGCGGAGGGAAGCCAAGGTCTTTCTGGTTAGCTGCTGGGTGAAGCAGGCTCTAAATGCCTGGAGGGAGGAAGGGCCTCCTCCCCCGCCCTGCACGTCCCCCGGTGACTCCGCATCACGCCCGAGAGTCCACGCCTAGAAAGTCAGGAGGCAGACCAAGGGGTTACCAAAACAAGAGTTCCTTCTGCAGTGTCATCTGGGTCTCCTGCTGGCACAGAAAATCAGAAATTAACTGGCTGCGAGGCCCAGCCCACGTGTTTCCTACCCTCTTGGCCCCTTTATGCAAAGTCATCAGCTTCGGAAAAGGCTTAGATATATTTGTATAAAGCGTTCCAGCAAATTCCATGTAAGAACTGGCTGGGGCAATCCAGGAACCTTATGGAACCCCCTACCTTCTCCATGGGCCGCCCCCCCTCGCGCCCCTCCCCCTCACTGTTCTCTCTTCGTCCTTCGTTCTCTGTCTTTTTTGGAAACTCTAGTCATCCATGTGTGTGATGCTTATTAACTGAGCACCAAGTACATGCACGCTCTGCACTAGGGACTCGGGCTGTGTTTCCAGGCCAGACGGGATCTCTGGCCTACAGGTGAGTGGTTACTCTTCCATTTATTCTGCAGATGGCAGCTTTGGTAAAGTAAGAACTCTGGCCTTTACTACTAACCGAAGTCTACAGGTTTGGCTAGAATACACCGATAGGCATTTTAGGCTGGCTCAGACACCACATTTCACCGGTGTCTAGAAAGTGAGCAAGTTGGCCATTTACAATCGGGATGGGCACCTTGTTCTTGGCATTCCTCAGAGGATGTTCCTGGATGGCTGACAGCTAAGCTACGCCGCCATCAAACCCCAGGTCTGGTGGCTTCATTGGACCGCGTGACCAGAGGCGGCATCGCGTTTCCTCAGCCTCGTGTCAGTCTGGTGGCCGGGCTGGTTATTTGGATGGCCCGCTGACCCCGGCCTCCCTGGGACTGCCCTGTCAGACTGGTGTCCCACCCCTCGGGCTGGAAGGAAGTCAGGAACTTTCTCAGGCGCGGAGCTCCTCCTTCCCGGGAGGCGCCCGGTCAAGCGAGGAAGCAGGGCCCCGCGGGGTCGGCGGCGGGGGCCCTGGGTTCCCGCCGGGAGGAGAAGGCGGCCCCCCGACGGCGTGGGCAACGGGCCTGCCAGGGAAGAAGGGGGCCTGTGAGGCAGCTTCGCGGAGCAGAGCACAGGTGCTGGCAGCTGTGAGGAGCAGAAGGGAGAGGGAGGTGCGGGGACACGCGGGTGTCACCTACCCAGCTAAATCTGCTGAGGGACAGTCCTCGCCCCTGTGTGAGAGAGAGAGAAACAATGACATTGTGATCCAGGCAGGAAAAAAAAAAAGTCTTTTAATAAACAAGAAACACAAATCGGGGCTGTGCTGAGCTGGTGAGTGGTGTGGACCCCTGCGGGATCCCAGGGGCAGCTCGGGGTGGATTTGGGATGGATTTGGGACAGGGCGTCGGGGGAGCGAGCTGGGAGCCGGCAGCAGTCTCTGCTGGGGCGCGTTCCTTCCTCAGCCTGTGCTACTTGGGATCCACGGGGCACACATTTGGGGTGAAGTCAGGTAGCCGTGAGGCCCGCCCTCTTTTTGGTCCATTTGGGGATTTCAGGGAAGGTTTACAGACGGCGTGACAATTAAGGACAAGTTCAGAGGTCTTACCTTTCCTTGCGACGGAGGAGGTGTGCGGGGTGTCACCTACAAAGACACACAGAGGCCTGTGAGCGGGGGCGGGCGCCTCTCTCCCTGGGGAGCCTCCTGCCCTCACCTTCCTGCTCCTGACCAGCCCCCGTTTGGCTGGGAGCCCGGCGCCTCAGAAGTCACCCCTCTCTGCCTCCCGGTTCCTGTCCTCTCGTTCTCGGAGACTACAGGGCCTGAGACGCCAACGGCAGGCAGAAGCTTCCAGAACACTCAGAGAACCCTCAGAGAAGGGGGGCACCCGCAGGCTCCGCAAGTTGCAAGGATTCGCCCTGCTGTGGTTGCTGGGTGCGCTCGCTGCGACAGCGAAGCTCGCTTTGCTAAGGGTCTGGCTTCTCAGGGTGGAGGTAAAGTGTCCCCTGGTACTCAGAGCTTCGAGGGGAGTGTTCTCGGGCTGGGGCTCCCAACACTCACTTGTCAACATAAAAAAGACCCTCTTAAAATGCCCGCTACACAAAAAGTTTAGGATTAGAAGCTTGTGGTTTTGCTTTTGTTTCTCAATCTTTATTTTTGAGAGTGGTCTTAAGTTTCTGGAAAGAATGCACAGAAATTAGAGAGTTGCCATGTCGGCCACGTCTGCCCTCTTGTCCTGCACACTGTCCCCCATTTATCATGGCCTCGCTTGCGCATGGCTCCTGTGTTACAAGCTGGGAAGCCGACGCACTTCTCTTCAGGGAATCATAGCACATGGTAAGGTCACGCTCATGGTGCACGTTCTGTGGGTTTGCACAAATGTGCGATGTCAGGTGTCCACCACCTTCGTATCACACAGTAGGCCCACGGCCCCCAAACCCTCTGTGCTGCCCCGTTCACCTCCCTGCCCACAAACTCTGATAACCACTCCTCTTGGCATCTCTTTAATCTTTTTGTCTCCATAGTTTTGCAAAGCCTGTGTTTTTAAACTAAGAGTCCTTTAGTCTCAAAAGGAGTGAGTTCTTTGCTAGAACACAAGATTCAGTAAGTGGCAGATGCAGTTTGGACCTTGTGACCAGGTTCTAGGTCTGAGCTCCCATGGCCAACCTCACCCTGAGGAGGAGAGAGGCATCATCGGGGATAGACTCATGTCCCTTGTGGATGAGAGCTCAGGGTCACCTGGGGATAGACTCAGACCCCGCATGGATTAGAGCGCAGGGTCACCTGGGGATAGACTCAGACCCCGCATGGATTAGAGCACAGGGTCATCTGGGGATAAACTCAGACCCCGCATGGATTAGAGCTCAGGGTCACCTGGGGATAGACTCAGACCCTGCATGGATTAGAGCGCAGGGTCATCTGGGGATAGACTCAGACCCCCCATGAGCTCAGGGTCACCTGGGGATAGACTCAGACCCCCCATGGATTAGAGCTCAGGGTCACCTGGGGATAGACTCAGACCCCCCATGAGCTCAGGGTCACCTGGGGATAGACTCAGACCCCCCATGGATTAGAGCTCAGGGTCACCTGGGGATAGACTCAGACCCCCCATGGATTAGAGCTCAGGGTCACCTGGGGATAGACTCAGGCCCCCCATGGATTAGAGTTCAGGGTCACCTGGGCATAGAGTCAGGTCCCCTCATGATTCGAATCCGTGTCATCTGGGGATAGACTCAGACCCCTCAGGACTAGAGCTCCGGGTCCTCTGGGGTAGACTCAGGTCCCCTGTGGTTGAGGCTGTGGCCGGGCACCTGCTGCCCCCTGCAATCTCGATTCTCCTGGCAGCCTGCCGCTCACAGTGGGATGGGAGCACTTACAATGTTCTTGAAGAAGTGCACTACAGGGTTTTCATCTTGGGGCCGGCCGTGCTGCGACTTCTGGGGCAGGGAGCCGTAGTGGGCAGTTCTCGCCGCGTGATGTCCATCCTGAAAGAGAGGGCGTGCTGAGCTCAGGTCGGGTCCCACCCTCTGCTCTGGCCCCCCTGGGAGAGCTGCCTCCCTCCTCTCCGGGGGATGCGTCTGGATTCTCTGGGATCAGGACCTCATGCTGCAGCATGGCTGCGGGACCCCGGACACTCCTAGGGTGGCAGGGGACCTCAGGCGGGAAGTCTGGATGTGCCCGAAGCATCTCCACCATGGAGCCAGCGTCAGGGCCCCCCAAGTCACAGCACAGGGCAGGGGAAGGGCATGTAGGGGAAGTCCGCCGAAGACGGGCTCACGGTAAGTAAGCCGCACGAGAAAGCAACCACCTCCCTGAGCTTCTGCTGTGGACGAAGGAGAATACTCGGGAATTCATGGCAAAAACCCCACCATGGGCTTTGAAGGGGTCGCATCACGTGAACGAGCCTCCGTTTCTCAAAATCAGCGTCCCAGGTCACAGCACTGGCACCGGCCCAGTTTGGGACGACCCCTTCCAAATCTTGAGCAGCGGGAAGGCTGTGGGGAGAAGTGCCCAGCTCTTCCCAGCTCAGGAAGTGCTGCAGAGACGACAGGGAATGTGGGCGGGGGAGCGAGGTCCACAGCGCAGCAACCTCCATGCACCCCTGCACCATGGGCTGAGCGCCACCTGCACACAGCGCTCCGGGAGGCGAGCTTGCAAAGCAGACCCCGGGGCTCTCCTCCTGCTCACCCAGTGACGTGCGCAGGGAAGAACGTGAGGGAGAAGTTCCCAGGGGCCTTTCTGTTACACGTGCTGAGGTCCCTGGAGGCGCTCCCTTCCCTCATGGGCTTTGTGTTTGCTGTGAGATGAAGCCCTTCTTCGGGAGACACTTTGCCTCCACGGAGTCCAAAGCGTGCGTCTCCAGAATTTAAGGCCTTTGGTGGGCCTCATCTAACAGGTGGCCGCAGTACCCCGACGGGGCTTGGTTGCAGTGAAAGGTACACTGCGTCCAGCACCCACTGACTGGGGACATGTTGGGCTGTCCCCAGATGCCCATTTTCCTGCCTCTGAGCCCCGGGTCTGAAACCCGGCGGTTACCCTGGCCCCCAGGAGTGCATCTTGTCTTTCTCGAACGCATCCTTGCATCCATTCCCCTCCCCACTACTGACGGACAATAAAACAAAAGCTGGCTGAGTTCGTCTGATCCTGCCCTTTCCAGCCCAGACACATCGGCAAACCCGGCGGCCCTCTCCCCGCTTCCCTCCCGACCACGCCCTGCTTCGGCTTCACCAAACAGCACTTTTTCTCTGGCTGGAGGGCCGCTGCGAACCCACTCCGCTGGGCGTGCAGGTGTGCACTAGCTCCTGAGTGCTCGTCTTTGCTCTGATGGCCCGCCACCTCGCTGGGCTGTGGACAAGGTCACCCGTGACCCGCCAGTTCCCTGGGACGTTCCGTGCCCGGCTCACCCTTCAAGCGCCACGAGCTGCCCACTCCCGGTGCTAAGCTAAGCAGGCCCCCCTGATGGACTTCTCTGCCCCCCGGGCAACCCCAGCCCCGGCAGGCCCCGGTCCTTTAGACCCCCAGCACCCCGCCGGCCTGTTGGCCGGGCCTCTGCCCTCCCTCACCTGGGTCTGGCAGGCACCCTCCCCGCGCCCAGACCCTGCCTCTGGAGAGGCTCCTCGCTGCCCGCAACGCCCTTCCTCTGCCCCCGCCCTGCTCACTCTGCAGGGGTCTCCTGCTGGAAGCCGGCTCCAGCTCACCCTGCAGACCCGGTGGGTCGTCGGCCTCCTGCGCTGCTCATCCATGAGCACCCTGAGTGTGCAGCCCCAGCGGCCAGCTGGGAGCCCCGCCGCTCAGGACTCCCCGCACACGCCTGCAGGAAGGCACAGGGAACCGGGTGGCTGTGGGCACTGAGCCTGGAGATGTGGACACAGCAGGGACAGAGCCAGAGGGGTCCTGTTCCTGCCGAAACCCCTGAGCCTGCTTATTCTAACTCATGCTCTCTGCTGATGCTGCAGGGACCCGAATAACCTGCTTCCCCTCCCCGCATCCTTGTCTTTTACCTGATTTCCAACTGCCTGACTTCGCTGGCTGATCACAATCAGCACGCCGACGCTGCATATTCTCCAATGAAAGAGTGAGCGCAAAATTAAGAATTAAAAAGCAAAATGGATGAGCCAGGAAATGATTTAAATTACTTACATTAAGACAAATATCTTTTAAGTGTCTGATATGTCCTGCAGGTGGTTATTCATGAGACACCATCCAAATGGTCTGAAATAATGACATCGGCTCGAAATCCAGTACACCTTGCTCTCCTCTTGGTGTTTTATACACTGTTTTTCTGCATGCTCTGTATTGGATATTGAGTCATAGAGGAACCAGGCACCTGTAACTCATACAGCCTGTGATTAAACTAGAAAAAATATCTTAAACTATACACAGAGGTTTTTACAGAAGTGAATGTTAGGTCATATTATGCAGATCTCATATTATTAAAACTTATTTATGTTGTGAGATAGATAATGAGGTTTACATAGGTAATAATGTTTCTCATGTGAATTATGCATACCTGCGTTGAATGCTATAAGACAAATTATGTATTTTGTGATTTTTATAATAAATATATCAGTCACCAATCTTTTGAGGGAAAAGTAATTTAAAGGAGTGCATGAAATTGGTAAATTGCATTTTGGCTCTGGGAGCTACAACATCAGGGGTCAGAGCCATTCATGGAAAAGGTGGTTGGTATATTTATAGCCCTCACCACAGAACTTAGGATACAATATGCATTCACTGTGTGTTGGATTAACATGTAGACTGTGCAGATCGTTTTGAATACAGAGCCTCACACACAGCGTTGATCTTAAGTAGACAGAAGGCCCTTGGTGAAGCCACACACTTCTTTTGTTACATGTGCAGCGAAGCCCGCTGAGTATGGACTTGACCTGGACTCTTGGTTGTAAATTGTCCAATGCACAGGTGATCTGAGGTAGTCACCTGGTTACAACTGCAGGTATATTTGGAATGGCCTGGTAGTAAAAGGACATGTAGCCAATCACATTTCTACACACTAAGCAATGAACACTTAGAAAAAGCAAAATTTGAAAACACTAACATGTATAATAGCACCAGACATAAATCTAGGAAAACATGCATAGGATTTCTATGCTAAACCCCAGGAAATGCTGAGGGAAGAAAGCAAAGAGCGAGCGGAGAGACATTCCATGTTTGTGGATGGGATGGCTCAGCACGGTAAAGGTGTCGACCCTCCCCAAATAGCTCTAAAGATTTAATGCACATCCTATCAAAGTCCCAACAGGGTTTTGTTCAGATGCAGGCAGGCTGTTTCTAAGACTATCCAGAAATGCAAAGGGACTGAAATAGGCCAGCAACTGTGGAAAAGAAGAATAAAGCTCGAGGAAGCACATGCTTTGAATTTCAGATTTCTACAGAGTGAAAGTAACCTAGGGAGTGTGGTGTTGGAGGGTAGACAGACACGTAGATGGACGGACACCATCATGTCCAGAAACAGGCCCACCCAAATGTGACCTGCTGATTCTTGAGAAAGGTGCGAAGACCATTCAATAGTGTTTTCAACAAATGGTATTGGAACAACTGCATCTGAATCTCCAAAAAAGTGAACCTCAACCCAGTGTCGCACCTTATCCAAAAATGAACTCAAAATGGACTATAGATCTTTATCTACAACGTAAAACTATACGATTTTAGAAGAAAACATAGTTCTGAGACATGACACCCAAGGAACGGCCCATAAAATTTAAAACTTTGGTTTTGCAAAAGACACTGTTAAAAGAATGAAAAGTCAAACTACAGACTAGAGAAAATATGTGCAAAACACACAACTGACAAAACACTTGAAACCAGAATATGTAAAGAGCTCTCAAAACTCAATGGTTAAAAAAACAACCCAGTTTAAAATGATGGACCAAACACGGAGCCGACGCTGCCTGAGGCAGGATGGGGACATGAAAAGCTGCTCGACTTTGTCAGGAAAATGCAACTCAAAGCCACGAGGAGACACCACTGCACAGGCATCACGGTGGACAAAATAAAAAGTACTGACAATACTAAGTGCTGACGAGGACGTGGGGCACTGGGAGCTCTCTTGCATTGCTGGTAAGAAGGCAAAATGGTACAGTCCCCCTGTCAGACAATTGGGCAGCTTCTTATAAAGTTATCCATCTACTTCCCGTAGGACCCAGCAGTCCTGCTTCCTGCTTTGAATGGTAAAAGGAAAAAAAATATTTCTGGAAGTGATTTTTTTTTTTTGTAATGAATATATTGGTCACCAATTTTTTGAGGGAAAAAGTAATTTCAATCTTAAATGGAAACTTATGTTCATTAAAAAAAACCTGTCCACAAATGTTATTAGCAGCTCAATTCCTGATCACTACATCGGCAAACAACCCAAATGCTCATCAGTGAGAGGAAAGGTAGACGAAGTGGCACATCCGCGCAGCGGAGTACCACGCAGCAGCACGATGGGACGAGCGTTTGATACCCCCGAGAACTCAAGGCCTCTCCAAGGTGTCAGGCTGAGCAGAAGCAGCCACTCCCAGAAGAGCTCCTGCCGTGTGGACTCATTTATGTGACGTTCTTCTAACAACTAAATCGCAGTGAGGGCAAGCAGGGCATCGGTCGCCAGGGCGCAGGGATGGGCGAGGGGAGGCTGCGCTGTGGGTACAATGGGAAAGCAGGGGCACGGCTCTGGGGTGAAGGGTCCTCACTGTGGTGGCAGCTACACAGAAGGCCACATGCCTTAGACTTCACAGAACCACGCACGGAAACCGAGTCCAGGTCTCTGTAGGTTAACATCTCAACTGGAGCAGGGTCTGTCTTTACGAAGCCGAGTGTTGAGGAGGGCACTGTGTCATCGCCGGGACCGTCTAGCAGGAGCCCTGTGTCCGTGAGTCCGGCCGTCCCTCCAGATGCAGCATCTCATCTCCGTCTGAGCTCTTGCTCGCATGGGCACCCTTGCTTGGAACGTCTTCACCTTGCTGATGTGCCCACTCTCTGAACAATA